AGAAAGTAGGTCGTTGAACAAAGTATTCCAGTGCAGAAGTCTCTTTAAGCAGAGCCTCAAGACCCCGATTCCTTTCCTGGGTGAATAATTGGTATCGCTAAATGAATGACACTTTCATAAAAATGCCTTGTTGCAATTCGTTTATTTCATTTCACTGAATGCAGTGATGAAAAGAGAAATAAGCATGCATAGCTTAGGTTGAGCAGTTATATCTACGGGACCTTTTTAATACCGGCCCAAAAAAAAGTGATGTAGATATGAATGCACTTTTGCTAAGCAGTGCGTGGATAAGTAGAAGGCTGTCTCTGCGTGGACGTGAAGCTTTGCGTACGCGAGGTGAACAAGTTTTTGAGAAGGATGCGCAGCGATTTGCACGTTGAAAGCCTCCGTCTGTGCGCTCATAACTTATTTCCCAACTTTCATTTTCCGTACGGTGACCCCCACCCCCACCCCCCCCCTTTCATATTATCGTTTAATATTGCACATGGGAGCACATAAACGTGGAGCTTCAATACAGTGCCTGTCATGTATAACGACAGATACAATGCGTGTGCGATGCATCGCGTGTTATTTACGCTGCGCGGCGCATGTGCATACTAGGGTGAATGAATGACACGAGTATGCATAGCCTGTCCCCAATCTGCTTGCTGTACTGTCTGCAACACCCGATTTAAGCAGTTATGTGGACGTTGTGTGCGCGCGCAATTATACGCGCATACGTGTCTCCATGTATAGACGTATAGTGTAGTGTGTGTGTGCAATCAATGCCTTAATCCAGCAGTGGAATGACGGGGCTATAATCTATAATTAATCATGTATAGTAGGTTTGCATCGTGTGTAATTATCCTGGCCACTATTCGATGCATCCAGAGTAAGGCACTGCTGCAAATGTGCACGCTTGCGGACGTACTGTGGGGTGGTGTCTGCAGACCAAAGATGCCACCGTAACATCCACTCATTCATATTTTCGTTTCGTTTTAACGATGCCATGCGCTCTTTAGCAGCCCCGCGCTGTGCCCCTGGTTTTCACCGCATCGCGTGCTCGTCAAATCGACGCCGGCACCGAAAACAACAATCGAGCTTCGGGAGGTGCGCGCGTGTGTCAAAGTGTGTGCGTGTTTTTTTTTTTAACGTCCCGCGTACCGGCGTGTCTTGTTTTGTCGGGTTAAGCATAATCAGAGGCAGCGTTGTTCAGACCTTCTCATCCAGGAATTTACCTGTGGCAGTAGGATCATCCCATGGGGTTGGCAAAGGAAAAACAAACCTTGAACCTTTTTTTTTGGGGTTGCAGTGTTCAATTCGCAACACCCACCCTAATCGCTAATGATGCAACAGTGCAGCTCGATTTATATATCTATTTTTAAAATTCTCCTGCTCGGAGTAGATGGTTACTTGCTGCTCAGGCACTCTGCCTTTCCGCCGAAGTGCGGTCGGTTGCTGGGACTGACCCATTGGGCGTCCTAAACAAAACATTTTTTTTTTTGGGGGGGGGCACCCTTAGGGAATGAAGATGAGTTTACGGTGTCGCGAGATAAGGGAAATGTAGATGCCGCGGCGTTGTGGTTACGACGAGAGATGCAGACGGGATAGATGAGGGATAGAGATTTATTATTGTTCTTCTAACGTTTAATTCGCTTGGTATGTGACTTAGGATTTGAATTTCTGCTGATGTTTCATTTATTTATTGTACTTGGGATGAGTCCATGGCCCCCTTTTTTTAGCTGCTCGGAGCACCGAACTTTTGCCCGGTTCGCCGCCGCTGGGCACCTTGAAAATATTCCGCCAGGCGGCGATGAACATTGCCTGCTGCTTCGTATGAGCGAGGAGATGCACGCTCGCGCCTTTTAAACGGCACCAACACTGCAGCTAGTGCTGCACTTTAACATTTAACATTCTACTCTTAAGAATGCCCCCTCCCCCCTACCCTATGTACTTCATTGTAACTCTGACCTGAACACAAACTTTGTAAAAAAAAATGTTTTTTAAATATTCTTTTCTGTAACCCTCCCGTGTACGTCTCAGCGTGGCATGGTTCTCATGTCTCTCGGGACTTTCACAAGGACTTTTTTTTACCCCCTGCCTGGTGCCTTTTTTAATAACGCCGTTCAGATGCGAGTGGGTGCTGTATATACATCCCGACGCGTACAGGCTGATAGAACGGAAAGTGGTACCCCATTCGTTTCACCAACGCCCCGAACTATAAAACATCGTTAGTGCTTGAACTTTAAAAAGTCAACCCCATTCTGAAAAAAGCATTGGGTCCCGTTTTTTTAAAATTTATTATCACTCATTAGCAAGCGTTACACATTCCACAATGCGATGCCGGGGACCAGTCGATTCATGCGATGCTCGCTGTTGACTTCCTACCAAGTAGTGCAGTCTAATGGGGTGGTGCTCGGTGTGACCCTGGTGATGATCGAGATGATGATGATGGCTCCGTGATGTGTTTTCTCGTTGTTGTACCGCGTACTGTTAGGTCGGATGCCCGACATTTCCTAGCCACGTACTTAGAACTTAAATAATTTCCTGAAGAAGTCCCCAGAACATGGACGGAAACGTCGCACACCATCCCTGAACAACACGCCAGCGGTACAAGCCAAACGCACATCGGAGAGCCACGCAGCACAACCTGAGCACCTACGATGACGACTCGTACGGCCGAGGCCATGCCTGGCCTGGATTTGAACTCGTGCTCCTGATCGTGGGAGCTCTGCATCTCTGCACGCCAAGCCGCATCCATGGCTGGTGATTGCCTCTCTGTTAAAGGTCGCAGAGTTCAATCGCGTCGCCTTTGTGATCCCCCCCCCAACAGGCGGTGCTCATCTGCACTGCATCGCTTGGGTCGGAGGTCACGCCGACTTCAAGAAATCATTTCAATGCAAGGATGCGCACTCCGCCGCTCTCTGGAGACGCGCGTTTTGAGACGCATCGCAATTGGCTAATTTTCGCGTTGCACCTCGCGATGCGCTTTCTCTGCCTCCTTAATTGTTATTGACAGCTGGCAGCAAATTTTTTTAAATATTTATTCAAATATAGGTCATTGTCAATTATACTTGCCGTTCTGGTGGTAACACCGCGTGCTGTTGCAACTGACCCTCCGTGTGACTGCATCGCAAGGAGCTACACAAGATGTGATTTCTCTGTTTTACTTCTCGGAGCCTAGGAGAGTCCTGCTTTTGGGATGTTTAGCCAGTTTTGTGTTTAGAACTGCTGGAAGTAGAAGGAAGGCAAGTACCTGGAGAAAAAAAACTGTTCGTGGAGGAGAATAACATGCAAACTCCTCGTGCATACCCTGTTAACCTACTTGCTGTGCTGCTTTACTACAGACAGCTCATTGCCTTGCATGTGGGTATCTTGTGCACATTGAGGCTCCTCCATCATTGCATCACCCACATGCGTCACTAGATTACATGAGTGCATTATGACCACCACACCGGCCAAGTCAAATCATGGGGCATTGCTTTTCCCTTTATGTAACCCTGAACCAGCAGTGACATTTCCACATTCGTAAGACATGGCCAGATTATATATAGGACGCATTTTTTTATCATCTTTATCGGATATGATCAATCTACTGCTGGATAAAAGCCTGCCTAAGTCATCGTTATCCCTCTCATGACTGTGCCATGCAATGGCGATTTTATTTATTTATTTAGTTTCCTCTTACCACCAGATGGTACATTTTTATCAGCTCTAGAGGGATGGTGGGTCCGGTCAGCCCCTGACATGGATTCGAACTCGCAACATTCCTAATAATGGGTCAACAATAATTCTCATCCCCAGCAGCACCATCGATGCTCTGCAGCGCCACAGCACCCAGTCGTTGATGAGCGCTGGGCACTCGCAATTGATGCATAACCTTAGCCTCATTACGACACAGGTCAAGAACCATGTCAACACGAGGGTAGTGGCCGGGTGGGGGCGGCGGGGGGGGGGGGGGACTGGTGTACAGCGACAAGCTGAGGCTCTTGTCGACTGCAATGATGACAACGTTATTAGAGCCTTGGGTTCGCTTCAGTCGGTTTCCTTGAGGCGTCCTTAAGAAGAGCAGTTGAACAGCGCCACCTCTAGATTCATCGTTAGGCCGAGTGAAGGGTTCGTGGCGCACGCTTGACTCCCCTGGTCTGCAGGTATCAAACGCATCTGTGGGACACTTGATTTACTTGGAATATAAACGGCGATAAGCACGCACTGTGCCGTGCCTGGGAAGGCTCTGTCGAGGAATCTGAATGGTTTGGTTAGAACTGACCTTGCATTGACCCAATCGTCCGACACAATCATTGCCTCGCTTTTCATTTTGTTGGTGAATTATTAATATATTTTTAATGAATCTCGAAAAGTAATAAGCTGGTGCGTGACTTTGCCCAAACAAGCAAATGGGGCAGTGCTCATCTCCCTTGACCGTCCTGAGCCAGTGATGTAAATTCGACATTATTATGGCAGAGGTCAGTCTATCCACTTTGGTTGCTGTTGTCAGTGATTTTTTTTTTTATCAGCCCTAGAAGGGTGAATGCGTGGAGGTACATGTCTTTGAATCCATCACTTTGGGGGCAAATGTGGGTGGATCGTGCAGATTTTGAGAAACTCTCAAACCCATGGGGATGAAATTGCAGACAAAATGGGTCCATAAACCCATCTGTACGGACCCTTTTGTTAAGCCTTTCGAAGCATGAGTTTCCCCATCTTCCTTCTGCACTGCTTTGAAAATAACAATTAGCCAATAATTCCGAAGTAGGACCCTCCTGAATAAAGTGTCTCTTGATTTTCTAGATGCTATATATATTTTTATATACAACATGTCGGAGTGAACTTTTCAGCTTTAAGAGATCTTGGTCCGAGTCTGGTTCTCTCCCAACAAACACCGTGGAGCCAGATGGCCCACTTTGCGTCAAGTTCCGTCAATTGGGTCGCAGACTTTTGCCTGATTTACTCTCCCGACGCATTTGTCGCCAACGCTGCCCAATTCTCACCCTGAACTGTTGTGGCCTGCAACCCCCCAGGCTGTTCGGCGTGACGGGCAACTGCGCCGCCTGCAGCAAGCTCATCCCGGCCTTCGAGATGGTGATGAGGGCCCGGGACAACGTCTACCACCTAGACTGCTTCGCCTGCCAGCTCTGCAACCACAGGTTGGTGCTCGCATGGCACAGCCCGGGGGGGGGGGGGGGGGGAGGAAGGGGGGGGGGGGGTACCGTGCAACCTCGCAACACGGCAGGAGAGGGAGAGAACTGCACGTGTGCTTGCTTTGTCTTCGGTGGCGCATCGCGGCATTCTCGGTTACAAGGTGCAAACGTTTATCGTGCATTTTAAAGCTAAAGTTTTGGAGTGCTGTGTATTATAATCTGGTAGGTGTGTATGTGTGATGAGATTGTAACTTTCTTATTTGAGGGTGTGTCTTTCCGGTGTGCCTTACAATCTGGACAATACATTATTGTACAACTGACAATAACTGGGACTTTAAGGTCCTGGGTAGACTCCAGAATTCCAAGCATGGATTACCTCGAAGTGAACAATCGTGGGAGAAAACCCGAGCAGGTGGCACAACCCCAGTGGCACAACGGCTTTAAGAGGCTCCGAGTTTGTTGAGGTCACAGCCTCCCAGACCCTGCGGCACAGAAGCTGGGCTCCAGTAGACCGTTTGCCAAGGACACTTAACGCGTCCAACTAGGCAGAGAGAGGAGGAGTGCTTTGGTGGCGACTCCTGGCAACGTCGCCACGCGATTTTTTTGCCTGGCTCCGCGAATGACGCGCCGGGGTTTAATGGAGATTAATGATGTTCGGGTTTCCATGAAGGTATTTAATGCACCTTTTCTTTTTTTAAACAAAAATCTGTAAATACTCTCATTTTGGAAAAGGGGGGGGGGGGACGTGTTTTGACTTCAAAAAAGATGTTCATGAGACTACGTTTTTCGCCAGTTTTTTATTCGAGCGGTATCGACGTTGATGCTGGCAGAAAATGTGTTTGATTACTGCGGTGGGCTTCGATACTTGCTGGCCTCCTGAATTTGGAATTCAACCGGGTGGAGAGGCTTGGTGCAGCGTAGACTTTAGACGACCTTCCATTCCTTTTGTGATAAATCCCTGTGCCTTAGCCAAAAATCTGTGGTCATCGTGACATTGTCTCGGATAGAACCGATTTTGTATTGAATTGATGAAAAACAAAAAAAAAACACCCCTTGAACACAACAGGATAGTCGAGTTACTCCCCTACTCATTCGGCCACAAACTACCGTGCTTGGGTAAGTTGAGTAGCGCAGACATCGGATACGTGTCGCGAAATGTAATGCCAACGCGTGCAGGGAACGCAACATAATTCCCTTTAGAAGTCAAAGTGTCTCCCTTGCCTACAGAGGCATATGGCAGTGCTGCTCGTCTGCATTAGCAGCTGAACTGGTCCAGTTTCGGAAATTTCACGTTCCTATGACAACGGTCAGAACCATCGTACCATAACCTCGAATAATGGTCCGGTGTGGAAGAGTAGGCCAAAAAAGCCTCGGGCGGGGCTCTCTTGAGCGCCCTCTAGTGGAGGTATTTCTGCCTTGCCTTAACCTCACAAAGCGAGACAAATGACACCCATCAAGATGGTTGAAGTGTTTTTTTCTTCTTCTACGTAAACATGTATTTCCATTTGCAACTTGCTTCACAAATATATATATATGATACATTACAATGCAACATGCGGGAATTTTGTTGTAGCCGAACATAAACATGATTGTTCATCTTTTGGATTTTTGTGGGGTGGGGGGGGGAGGGAGGGGAGAGTTCAACGTCGTTGCCACGATTCGCCACTTCGAGTGCGCACCGCTCGCAGCCGCGAGCTGCGGTGCAAATTCGCGAAGGGGGGGGGGGGAAACAAAGAATAAAACCACGGGTCTGTCAGATTTCCTAAATAACATTTATTACTCCATAAAATATTCAGCAATTTTCAGTGAACAATGAGCTTGGCTTTTTCTGCCACCGAGACACATTTCTCTGATCTGTTTTAGTTTCCAAGTGCCCGTTTTTATATTTATTTTATCTGCAATATTATGCCGCATTCGGCGCAAAGAAAATGTCAAATTGGCGATACGCCTGCGATAAAGCCCGCAGTCTAAAGTGTGTGCCTTCTTTTTAAGGGACAATTACACATGGCAGCAGAACATGCAGCTGATATCATCCAATCCAAGTTTATACATTTCCCCACAAAAGGTAACCTATTAATTGCGAGAACTGGGCTGTATGTTCTATTGCTCTGCTCATTGAGATTGCACTGTATTCAATCCGACATGGAAGGGATACAAATGAATGCCATCGTTCGCTTTTAGATCGACTTTTTTTGTTATTGGCAAAGTGCCCATGTTTACCACGCAACTGAGCAGCAGTCTGTTGCGATACATTTCTAACAACAGCGACGACAACCCAAGTTCGATCCCAAGTCATGCACATCGGGGTGAATCTACATCGAGACCTCCCCTAGGTTGACTCGGCCCAATACCACACACACACACCGGAGGAACAAACAGCACTCTCTTGCCATGCCAGCATTACCAGGCGAACGACAAACGGTGCTTTGTGCCCCCCGGGCGAGACTTAAGAAAAATGGCACCAACAAAGGCGCTAACCCCGTCGTGTCGTGTGTGGACTATCTGCAGGTTCTGCGTGGGAGACAAGTTCTTCCTGAAGAACAACATGATCCTATGTCAGATGGACTATGAGGAAGGGGCCATGAAGGAGAACTACCAATCCCAGGTTCGCTAGGGCCCGCGGACGGGCCCCGCCCGGCGAGAGGCGCTGGCCCCTCGCCGCCCCCTCGCTGCCCTCGGCACCGGGCGCTGCCACCGCTGCCACCAGCTGTGGTGGCAGCCACGAGCAGAAGGCTGTGGACGTTGTGGGGACGACAATGGCCTGCATGGCGGCTGGACAATGGGGGCGGGGATGCAAAGAGTTGTGGGGGGAGATGATTGGCGAAAGGAAGGTGGTGTGGGTGGCAGTTAAGGCAAAGGATAGTTGGCGAGGGAGGAGGTGATGATGGTCGTGGTGGTGAAAAGGACAATTGACACTGTTGTGTCTCATGGATGGCAGCAGGCGAGGTTGGGATGCGAGTGCAGAATGAACGAGGGATTGAACGAACTCTGGAGTTCCGAAGCGACGCGCGTTACGGAATCGTAAGGCGCCAACTGCGACGATTTCGAAGATGTGTAAATCAAACAAACAAACACTGTTAAGCAAAAATTTTATTTACGGGGACGACGGTGATGATAACGATGAAATGTTTCCGCGTTTTCAAAAGCTTCGCAGAATTTTTTTTCGCGATAAAAAAACGTACAGTGACCACTAAGCTCTCCTGCTGCATAAACAATAAACGAAAATGGATTTTTGCGCTTTGTGATTCGCAAAGGGGAGGGAATTTCGGAAACGACCAAATTTGTTATTTTAAGCAACTTCGCGTTGAGTTCAGCAACATGGTGGAGGACAAGAGTAGGTGGAGAGGTTGGGAGCTTTGTAATTTACTGGGGATTTGTTACAAAAAAGACACGGCACATGGGAACTGTTTTAAACGTTTTTGTATTTGCAATGCACCCAAAATCCACAAACCTTTTACCCCCCCCCCCCCATTTAAGGAGTAAAACTAAACAGTCATAGGAACGTTTCTGTTTTCCCTTTAGGGACGGGGTTTGCACGAAAGCAATCTCCTTGCACCCACTGCATTTTTCCTGCACATTTTTTTTGGGGGCGTTCACCACGTTTAAAAAAAACCACACTGGAATGAAAATAAAACAGACGGGGGGGGGGGGGAGGGAAAAATGCGTAAATTTTTTTATTTGGCAGGGCTGGGTATCTTTTGTTCGATGCACTGCTTAATTAATACTGTGCTGTGATTAAAATTGTAATACCTACTGTAGATGTAATATAACCAGATTATTGTTAAATACGAGCATTCTAAAATAGTGTTAATAGCTGCTGGTGGTATATATCTTTATACGTTGTTACTGCTTGGTCACGTGTGTCTGTGTAGAAGGGTTTTCCCCCCACGAAATTGGTCAGGAATACAAAGTCGCTCTCTCCCGTGCATTACTGAGCTATTTGTTCATACCCAAGTCCCATTTGTTAATCCTGTGGTAATTCCAGCCTTGACAATCCACAAGGCGAGCACGAACAACTTCTCACCGGGTGTTGCAGCCTCACCGAGTAGCGTTCACTTTACCCGTCATCATGACGACATTCCACATTTCCATGCCAAGGTCCAGTCTATCCATAGCACGGCCACTGTTAACTTCCTACAGAGAGTGGTCCTCGTGTTATCGATGCTGGGGGGGGGGGGGGGGGGGGGGGGCGATGGAGCTCGCAAATTTCCAACAGCGAGCAAACGGTTCCAATCGCAGCACCCCACTCCCTAGCCAGATATGACTAATTCATCATCATCATCATCGTTGGTCTTGTTTTATGATCCTGCGGCTTGATAAATCCACCAAGCTCCATCGACAGGAACCGAGTTCACCGCCACCGCTGCTTCTCCACAAACATCGGGCCCCGTGAGCGAACGTTGCCCACACTGTGGCACCAGAGCAAGTTTTCACACGTGTCCTTCACAAAATTGGGCATCAAAGTGTGGCAAAACATTCAGTTTGTAAGATTCCTATTTCGGTGTTTGTTTTCACAAATTTTAAGCCGATGAACACGGAGGGTAATTCTCACTTATTACGAGTGTCACTGACCAGTCCTGTCGGCTTGTTTTTGTTTTGTGGGTGGGTTTGTGTGTGTGTGTGTGCACGGCTGAGTACTTTTCTTTTTAAAAAGACAATTTTTGTGTTAATACTTTTTGAAATTGAAATAATTGCATTCATAATAACGTACTGCAGTCCAGTAAAAGTGTACCTTGTGTTACTGTTGCGTGGAGAGAGTTGGATGAATCTATCTTAAGGAGACTTTGGAATATTGTTACATAATTAGTTTTCTGAACAAGACAAGTAAAAAAATAAGTTTTTAAACTGCCAAGCCATTATAATAATGCACATTGTGCAATTAATGCGCAGTAGGTTCTTATATCTTAATGCCAAATTATAAAGCGAGCCTCATTTTGTTTTTGAGCACTTTTGTGAATGGGTCGTAATTACTCTGTTAGCATTTTAGCGGCTTCTGAAAATTTTGTTGGTTGTTTTTGGTATTAAATCACAAATCAGAACATTCCTGAGAACAATCTTGCGCACAAACCTGTAATGCCTGCAAAAGAGCGGCGCTATTTATTTTCACATTTTATCTTTAACAAAAATAAGTTGATTGAAAAGTCAACTTGTTTTAACGTGCGGCTGATTCTCAATCCCCGATTTCTAACGGAGCCCATCAAAACACGTGTGCCGTGACGGCGAGGACGATTGCATTGCTCAATGAACGTTTTGGCCGTAATTTGCATTGTGCCACATCAGGACTTTTTTTTTGTTTGCAGTGAATTTGTTTTGAGGAACAGATCTGATAAAAAAAACTACTGTCCGGTGGATTAAGAAAGTGAAAAACATTTGATAAAAAAACCGATACAAAAAAAACAAGAAAATCAACCGATACATTTCTTATTTGCACTTGAGAATTTAAAATTGCATTTACTTAGCGAACGATTTTGTCCAGATAAGAGATGCGGGCCAAGGCTCTTCAGTATTACAATGCAGGGATTCACGTGAACGGTTCGTGTTGTCTTAAGCTATTTAATCATATTAAAGATGTAAAGCCACTTGGAGTATGAGCCACCTAAAAAAACAATTCTACGTCGTGGAAAAATGTGAAAAGCTGCAAGTGGCTCAAGTGACAGATTTACTATACATTTCATTACCCGTGCTCAGTCCACTGCTGGATATAAACCTGCAAGTCACTATCAAACTCTGATCTCAATTTGTCCCAGTTTTTCACGAATCCATCTCCTTTGTGTGGCTGTGCTGCGCGCGTTTTCTCTTTTGTTGCCCAATGCCACACACCGACCAGAGGCCCTACCCTACCCAGTCTCATGGTTTTTTCCTAATAATGACGGCGATGACCAAAATGTATTTCTTCATGTCCAGTTCAAATGTATCAATGTCACTTCATGCTGGTTGTTGATTTCCCCTCTTTTAATTAACAGTAAACCATCAGGATAGTGGTTTGAGGTTGAGTTATATATATATTAAAATAAACAACATACCAAGGTGAACGCTAATGCACAATACACGTCGTCTGTGTGTTCATTAATTTTGTTTTTCGCACACGCGTTATCTCTCCCATGTTTCGTCGGTCTCGTCGTGTTGTTAAACATTCAGAAAACCGATAGGGGAATAGAGAGCGCACCCATCGATATCTGTACGAGTACCAACATTAGTTTGTCGTGTTCTCTCTTTCAGTGTCATGATATCGGAGGGCAACTGACACGACACGGGGTTGATTCGAGGCTCGTTATCGCGATTTGATATTGTGGCCGCAGACCGAGCGTTTAGAATGCCGTGTCAGGATGTTTTTGCCATCACATTCCTGTTTATTTCCTAATTGAGGGGCTCGCTGTGAATCCTTGTCCAACCAAAGTGGTGAGGGTTGGGCATTGAGTGGTTGAACGCAAGCAGGTGTCTCCCTGGTACGTTGAACACTTGAAACGTGACTTTTTATTCTCGCGGTGCAATATTTTATTTATCACGTGGAAGTATTTCAGCTTTAAATGTGAAATTTAAAAAAAAACGCGTGGTGTGCTCTCTCACGATTGGCCCATGTGTTTGTTGGACTCTCTCTTTTACGGTTTTTATCACTTTGGCTTTTGTTTCCTTTCAAAAAAAGTGTGTTTCGCCCAGTCGCTATCAACGGTACAATAAAACAAAATACATGAAGGTTAAAGCCAACAATTGATCAATTTATTGCGGTAATATTTAAACACGTGCACGTTTATTTTTATTTATTTTTCTTGCTTGTGAAAAAAAACGTACCCGTTTTGCTTCCTCAAACAGTAGATTGTTGTGAAACCACAGGGCTTAATTGCAGTCGGAGCTGTGTGGGGTTGAGCTCCAGAAAATATCTGACCAAGGCCCCCCCCTTAGCGGTTGTCAGGGTGGGGAGTTGCCCTGGAAGATATTCCATGAGAAATTAAGCCCCGATCATTTGTAATGCATGGGGGGGGGGGGAGGGGGGGGCAATTCACTTCACTGCCGTTACTTGTGTTGATGACACTCGGGCGCAGGGGCGTTTGTGTTTAAAAAAAAAAAACTTGGCTGTAAAAGAGCTCCCCTCATGTCAAGTTCCACAAGACCAACGCTCGGGTAACGAACTCCCGTTGCCGTGGTTCTTCGCGCCCCGAGGTTCCGGTTCGCGCAAGCGATCGATGGGACCTGCGACAACGCCACTGCAGTCCGAGTACGGCAGCTCGTCGAGTGAAATCCATTTACAATAACTCCATTGGCAACCTGTAAATTAGTACAAAGTGCCGTACTTGGGATTATAATATTGTGATTACTTTCTCGTGCACTAAACATATTTTGAGTACGAGATATGCTTGTCATTAGATAATACAATGCAGTACAAAGACCCCCCCCCCCTCCTCTTCCCCTCCCCCCTCCTCTTCCCCTCCCCCCTCCTCTTCCCCTCCCCCCTCCTCTTCCCCTCCCCCCTCCTCTTCCACTCCCCCCCTCCTCCCCCCCCCCCTCCTCCCCCCCCCCTCCCCCCTCCTCCCCCCCCCCCTCCCCCCTCCTCCCCCCCCCCTCCCCCCTCCTCCCCCCCCCCCTCCCCCCTCCTCCCCCCCCCCCTCCCCCCTCCTCCCCCCCCCCCCTCCTCTTCCCCTCCTCCCCCCCCCCCCTCCTCTTCCCCTCCCGAGTCGACTAAGGGGAGGCCCTTGACCGGTTCAGATAATCGGCACTGGTGTTGGCCGTGAGCGGGAATCGAACTCGGGTCGCAGGGTCCGTAGCGCAGCGCGCTTAACCACTGCACTACCACTCCCCACTAGGCAGTACACACATACACGCACACACGCGCACGTGTGTAGACCGTTATACGCATTGACTGCATGGCACCGTGGTTAGAGCTCAACCAATTAGAAATGTGGGATTTGAAATCCTGATGGGGGTTGACTCGGCCCATCATCTCCACGATCGATATAAAATGAGTACCGCTTTGTGGGAAGTCACGTGGGTTGTCGAAAATGAGAATTTGCCCCGCCCACCCTAACGTGGAATTTCCACCACCGGCTCGGGGCCCGATGCCCGCTATAGTGCGGAGACGATTTGACACACGAGGGCAATGAGCGACGCGTGCAGTTTGCGGTGCTCAACATCCACGGTGCCAGGCACGGTGAATCGTTGAGTCAATGCAGAATAACAGTCGCACCAATACTGTGGGACCGACTTGCAATTTCTGAGATGGCAACGCCTCGATATTGCCTAAATCACCTTTGTCACTGTGTGATGCAGTGTTGGATAACACTCATCTATTGCCACCTTGGGTCTGCCACCTGTCCAGTCCGGGAATTGGCAACTGCGTTCAGGGTGGCAGGAATGAATTTGTACTGCGGTACACTGGCATTGTGTTGAATTTCATCGCGGTAAACTGCACAGTTTTGATAGTACACCCGAGTGCCGACTGCGAAATGTGAATGGATTTGGTCAACGGTGGAGAAGATGGGAAGCCTCGCGCGATACACAATGGGGGGGGCAAACACTCCTCCGCATTGAATTTGCCACGCTACGATACGTCTCGTTATCTGTAGGACAGTACGGAAGAATTCCCTGCAATTGCAATTATAGTACACTCACATTTATAAACTGATGTAATGTGTGTGTGTGTGTATATATATACTATTTCACGTGTACATACGATAAGTAATTTAAGTTTATAAGAAAAAAACAAATGTGAAAGGTTAATACAAAATATAATCCAAGCATTTCAATTGCGGTAGTCTCTCGTAGTCGAGTACCTGACCGAGTATCGGATTGCGCGAGGGATCCGGTGCAATGAGTAATCGGTAACTGACTACAATGTTGAAGCAACGCTCCTGCCACTGGATGTTTCATGACGTTCCCTTTGTGACCACACAGAGGTTTATTTTCTGGTAATCTCCTGTATATATTATATATGCTCTGCTTAATGCAGCTGATGTGTGTATTTGCACTGTATGTATTAAAATAAAAATGTAGATGATATTAAGTCGACTTTTAACGGAGGCTGAAAGTTTTACGTTGGGGTATTTCGTGTTTTTTTTCTTCTATATGCGGTAAATATATTTTGTTGCTGTTTGCTTTTGTTGATTACAATGTAAATGCTTAGCTGTTCTGTTCCAAATGCTTTATGCCGTGTATAAAGCGCAAGCTTAAAATAGTTAACAACAGATTCAGCTTCTGATCTGAATTACTTTTTTGCCATAAGAAAATAAAGGATTTTAAACAAATGTACACTCAATGATGATGTTTGTGTGTGTGTTTCGGATGCGATGGGGCAACAGTTCAGACACTGCTCTGGAGCTCACCAGCTCGAGCTCCATTCCCGGCGGCGACGTAACATCGGTGGCATGTGGTGTTTGAAACTGTCCTGGGCCTCCCTTGGGTCAGCTTGGCCTTAAATGAGTACCTGGTGTGGGGGTGTTAACACCTGCACTGACGGGACGAAGGTGGTTGGGCGCCGTGCTGAGCACACCGTACTGTTGTTTGCCTTGCTGACCTTAATAGGTGCTCGCTAACAGCACGTGCCCCAGTGGCCTACGAGGGTTTACGGGGGGATCTTAAATTGCTGGAGGGAGTGCCTGCGTTGTTGGAGGAGGACGAGGAGATGGAGGAGGAAGAGGAGAAGGAGGACGAGAGGATATGCTCACAACAACAGTGGGTGGTTAAAATACCAAATGGGAACCGTGGTGGTCACACTCAGAATCTTTATTTATCCTGAAGAAATCCGATGAGCTATGAAGCTCTTTTTTAACAGATGTCCTCTGCCAGTCACACTGGTCTGGTTCTGGCCTGTGATCACCTGCCAGCAGGCTTTTTTCCACACGACTTGGCCTTCAAGTGCACCTAGCCTGGCACAATTGCCGCCATTTAGTGCTGAATGTTAGCTGTTGTAAGTGCGTGCGTGTGTATAGGCACATGTAGCCGGATACACAGTAATTGGGTTTGTGTGTGTGTGTTAGGAATTGCAACAGAGTGGTTAATCAACTGCACGACTGCCCCAAAAACCTGGGTTTGACTCGTGCACACGATGCAAATCACCAGCTGTAACAAGCATTTAAGCCTGGCGTGTTAACGTGGCCTAAAATGAGAACTGGGGAGCCACACCACCCTTCTCGTTTGCTGGTTACAACTCTACACGTTCCTAATTGTAGGCTGAGTAAATCTTGCACATGCCTACGATTAGCACGGTTGGCAATGAACGGTGCGAAAGAAGTTCAACGTACAGACGTACATATTCAGGGACGGGATGTTGCTCCTGGCTGTCATGGTTAGCACGCTGGACTTGCAATCCTGACGCCACTGGCTCAATCTCTGGTTCAACTGAATCAAGGGTGAAAGTTTATTAAATCCCTCTGCATCTATCCACCCAAGAAGGGTCAATGTTTTTTTTTTTAAACTTAACTTTCGTGACTGCGGGAATTCATATTCTTGGTTCTTTCGGTAAGGTCACGTAGATAGAAAATAATAAAATAAAATAAATTGAAAATAATAAAAGCAAAAAAATCCACGACGTTTCGATCGCAACACAAGCGCCTGATGAAGACCGCTTGTGTTGCGATCGAAACGTCGTGAATTTTGCTTTTATTATTTTCAATCTAGTTTACATCTCTTGCTCGAATTTTATTTTATTTTCAATCTACGTGACTTTACCGAAAGAACCAAGCACAGTTCGTCGATCGGCGGTTCACGCGCGGTGGGATGAAGTGGAGGTACTCTGCAGAGGGGGCCCTCAGGAAGAGACTTCAAGCAACGGCCCTTCCACCAGCAGTGGCGCGAGGGAGAAATTGCAGGGCTGCGCCTTTACCCGTTTAAAGCACACGCGAGACGCAATGGCACGTACCTCGCGTATATTTGCAAGGCTTCGTTTGGTTCGTTTTGTTTTCGTTTTGACACTGCGCATGCAACAGCACATAGCGGTAATAAGCCACGTAAAGCATTAGTTGATAAAGTCGTACAGTACACGGTGTGCCAGTTGTGCACACTACGCTCATTCACATTTGAACATCATTATTACTATTGAATATGTGGTCTCTGGG